ATAGAAAGAAAGAAAGACAGAAAGATAGAAAGAAAGAAAGAAAGACAGAAAGATAGAAAGACAGAAAGAAAGACAGAAAGACAGAAAGAAAGACAGAAAGACAGAAAGAAAGACAGAAAGACAGAAAGACAGAAAGATAGAAAGAAAGAACGCCAACTTCTCTTCTCTCAGAATTTGCTTTCTTGGTTTAGAACTTTGAAGAGCTTGCGATGATTTGCAATCTTTGAATGTAGTTCCTTATATTAATATCTCCACCCCTCCCCTCCACTCCACCCCACCCCATTTTCACACTTGTCCTCTCTCATTCCTATGTTTTCTAAATAATTAATTAGTAGGCTTATTAAAACTATTCACTCTTCCAAGCATCGCGCTATAATGTGTCTTACGTGATGGGCTTGTCCCAGTCCATCTTGCCCTCCTGGACGGCCATCACTGCTAACATGGCGGTAAAGCTTTTGGTGTTGGATCCGATGCACTGTAGAGTTGATGACGTCATCGGTTCACCAGTTGCCAGCTTTTTCGCGCCATATCCCTCTGGTCAGGAGATAGAAAAGACTTATAAGTTTGTTCTGTTGCTTGTGGCAAAACGAATATTATGTTCATCTACGAAGGTGGGCTGAAAACTAAAGCCTGTTACGTTATAACTTTTTACTTTTATATTCATTGTACGAGATCAAGAATAATGATTTTTTTTAAAGAAGGAAACAAACAAACAGACAAACAATATTCATTGTAAAGATGGATCGGCAATGAGTTTTGGGAAAAAACCCACAACAATTGAATTAAAAACAAATTATACAAAACCCCCAATCTACCTGCCAAAACTGTTTGGTTTCTTGTTGTCATGGCGACTTGCACACCCGGAATGTCATTACATTTCATGACGGCTTGTACAAACTCCTTAAGTTCTCGCCGGGAATCTTGGGTCAGCTGTTGAAGGCCGAGGACAGTGGACAGGGAGACCACAAACGTCAGCCACACGGTACCACAATACGTCATGGTGGGTCAACTGTGGCAGGCAAAGTGGGAAAATGAAAATTGTTTTTTTCGTACGAGTTTTACGGCACTTGCAACACAATAAGGTCATATAAGTGCCGAAGATTAGAGGTGTTACAAGAGAGTAACAAACACGAAAAAGAAGGAGGAGAGATAACGACGATAGATGTTTGATAGGAAAGAAGAAGCAAACCTCACTAGAACACCCGCCAACCAACCACGATAATGAGAAAAACAAAGCGAAAACTAATGCGGGAAAAGGTTTTTGCGTTTGGTTCAAAGAAAAATGGGTTGGAGGGAGGGGGTAGAGATATGTTTTCCTTATTGGTTTTTTTTTTTAAGGTATAGGACTTCAAAGCAAAAATGTTGACAGACAGACAGACAGACAGACAGACAGACAGACAGACAGACAGACAGACAGAC